CGCCAAGGCGGTCTGGCAGCCGCGGTGAGTGCCCTTACAGCCGCTGTCGGGCAGTGCTGCTGCCGCACGCCTCTCTTTTGGCCTCGCGGAGGTAACTCCGTCGTTGCGTTTCTTTCTGGTATTAACAGCATTTTTTTTTTCCTGGTATTTGCGACTTCAGAGACTAAAAAGAACGTGTTACTTTGGCAGCTCAATCTTGACTTCTGGTGCACGATTGTATTACTGATGAATTATATCCATAAGCTGCTTACATATACCGCGTGTGGTCCCAAGAGTGCCGGGGCTGCTTAGACATGAACGAGGTGTGTTAACAGTTGTTACGTTGCCTGTCTGGGCTGGAAATGGAAAAGTTTAGACTGCACATAAATGTAATTAAGGTTAAATAAATTAGTTTCATGAATACATGACTCTTCTCATGCTTTGCTCCACCCCGGGGAGGGGGGTGGAAATTGTGAGAGCCTTAATCTTGACAGATTTTTTTTTTGGAGCTACTATGGCAATGTACACGTAGGTCATACTGGGTTTTCACTAGTGTGGGTTGTCATCGCAGGAAGTAAGGAACAAAGTCAAACCTGAGCAAATAAACTCCATGGTATTTATTTGCCTGTGTTCCATGCTAATGCTGCCTGCAGTGGCAGTCAGAGCCTTCTGAGGAGGTTAAAACGTGACAACAGTCCGTAGTGGTAGGTGAAAGAAGACTTCAAGGCTGTGGTAACGATGAGACCTTACTACAGTAAAGTTAGGAATAACTGATTTTATTTCAGGGTATGAGAGAATACCTATTAAAGTAACTGTCAATATAATAACTTCTTTTGTTGTTGTTCGGTAATTGAGAGAATCTAAAAGTGATACTTTAGTTTTATTCCAAACTTAGATTACTGTCTGACGATAGGATTTACATGCCAGGTCATGGATCTATCAGCACTTTTCCCAATTGTATTACTGAAGCATTGAGTTGATAAAAAAGCTTTTACCTAATGACTGGGGAAATACTGCCATTGCTCTTATGACTTCTAAATGTTGCAGTTAAGTTATTTGAAAAAAAGTCTTCCTTTTGTATTTGAATCCTGGTGTTTCACTAATTGGATAAATTTTCATATGTATTGAGATCAGTCATATACAACTGTGTTTGCCAGCAACTCATCTTCTTTGTTTGCAGGGTTTTTATTTAAGACTGAAACAAAAAAAAACAAATTAAGAAAGTTGGAAATAATGTCAGGTGTTCACTGCAGCTAAGAGATATGTACAGTACTGATAACTGGTTTTAAAAATCTTCTGATATAGTTTTTCCAATATGAAGACTTAACTTCTATTGTTTCCAACATACAATTTTAGCTTAAGGTGAAATACTGATGGTTTGCAAAATGGATGCAGTACACAGTTTAACATCATGTAGAGGCAAAGATTTTATTTTTCATACAACCTTTCTGCTAGTGTGTAATGCGTGTCATGATACAAAAGCAAATGGCAGTCAGTTGTGCCAGAGTAAATTTTAAATTTAAAAGATAGCAAACCTACATTTTTCTATCACAGAATACATTCAGTAAGTAAAATAACACTATATGTCTGATATTCCTAAAGCATAAGTACATTACTTCCAGTTTGCTCTCATCATTTGTCTCCTTTGCCTATTATGTAATGAAAAAAACCCCAAAACTTACAGTTCATTATCAGCTGCATCTTTGTGTTCTTATGATGTAGTCAAGTGTTTCTTCCTATATATTGTGAACCTGTGGAATGCCTGAAATAAGAAATATTCCACTGTAACATGTTACTTTTCCTTGAGATGAAAACTCTTATATCTTGTATCATATAATTTTTCTGAAATTAAAATGGAGGGGAGCAAATCAAAGTTAACTTTTAAACATAAATAAAGTAGTAATGATGAAACTTAATTGTATATAGTATTTTTATTTAGTGTCTTGGCCTGGAAGGAGATGAAACTAAGTCACAATCACAGTTCTTCTAAGCAGTTTCTGGAAATATATTCTAGATTATTTGAATTTTTTAACAAAGAGTTTAAAATGTAACTAGTATCTCTGTTGCCTAATTTTTTTATTTTTTTTTTTGAATGTAGGTGGGAGGATACATGTTCACTTCAAGTAGAAAGGAGCATGTTCCCAAATTCCTCCAACTTGGGTCGTCCACCCTTCCCTCCAAAACATCAACAACAGAGTAATTTCTTCAAGAAGCTTCCTCTAAATATACCACCTACTCTTCTCTCTCACCAGCCAATTATTGATGCTCAGTTTAATTTTCAGAATGCAGCGTAAGTACAGTAAGATTTGATTGTGGGGATTGGGTTGAAAAAGAGAGTTAAGTCTTTTGAAAGAAGTGTTTCTGTTTATGGAGAATGTTAAGAACAGTGAAAAGCATTAAACTGCATTAAACTTTAAAAAAGAGGAAGGTGTTGTGTGTAAAACAGAGCTGTATAATTTCTGTTGCGAACCTGCAAGGTTTAATGCTCTCCTGTGTTATGCATAGTGCATGAGATGCCATTGCGCTGAATTAAGAATCCACAGTTCAGTTTTAAAGCTCTCCAATTTTATTTGTTTTCTGAGGAGAACAGGGAGGAGGTGAGAAGGGGAAGAAACATTTATTCTTGGGCCTAGATTTGAAGACACCAGAGTGTTCTTTAGGCTCTTAAATTTAACAATGCCTTAAGTTAATTTGTTTGCTGACCTCTTACATGTGTGCTGTAAAGAAGACCATCTTCTACTTTTTAATGAAAAATATGTTATATACTGAAATATCTCTTCATTTTGGATAGGAAAGACAGTTGTTTTGCTTCTAAGAAAAAAAAATGACAGATGTTGCTGAGTTTCATATTCACTTAAGAAAATCTACCAACCCATAAAAGGCATCTTAGTTTTCACATGAATAACATTTATGGACTGTAGTCTTTCCAGGGCTCTTTTGAGTGGGAACCTTGCAACTATTCCAGCTGTTACACTGCCATCAATGATTTCTGGAAATGGCAGTCCAGTATGTACGTCTGATGCCCCCACATCATTCCGAGGAAGAAAGTAAGTTCTGTAATGTGCCTACTGAAACTTGTCTAATACCAATTTCTTGTGCAACTTGAATTTTGTTAGAAATTGCAAGAATACTGAATAAAATGGTTTTTCAATGAAGCAGGTCATGTTATGGCTCTTTAAAGAGCTGTGTACCTGCTTTTGAGAATTTTACTACTCGCAAATGACTTAGTATGCATAGTGTTTCTCTTCCAACAGCTGTAGGCTTACAGAACTGTGCCTTAGTAATACTATAATGGACGGGAGGCTGTGTGTGCTTGACTAAAAGAAGGTTTGTGTCAATAAACTGGGTGTTCTCTTCCTGTTAATTTGTCAAGTTAAGAGCAAGACTGCACCCTCAACGTTTTATGGGAATCATGATGTTTTTCTGATGACACTAGATATTTCTCCTCATTTTCTTAATTATGTCATGCTTTATTTTTCAAATACAAAGTGCTAAACTCAAGCATATATAAGGATTTTTTAAAGAGGAATTTTGTGGAAACAGTTTTTCTACTTTTCAAAAAACTAAACTTACTTGAATTTACATAACTTCCTTTGTTATTTTAGTTGCAGCAGAAAGAGGAATTTCAGATGAATGTATAGTTTTATTTTCTTTAACATTTTAGAAAAAAATTACTTCTTATCAGTTTGGAAATAGTAGTTGATATGTGTTTGTAATAATTCTGTGACTCAGCTGTTAAGGAGTAAGCTTCACATAATCTGTGATTCAAAACTATTTCCTGTATGGTATTTCTCTTCTGTATTCAACAGATGAGAAAATACGTAAATATATATACCATTAAATATATGGTAATAAGTTGTAGTTGAGTATATAACCATCACATGAACTAAAGAAGTTCCTGTTTTCACTCTCCATGTGTGTTTTCCTCTTCACCAGTCTAGTTTATGGAAAGCTATGCTGTGTTAGGAGATTTGCAGTCAATTCATTAATCCTTAGATCTTGAGTCATTCTTCTTAAGGTATTTTTGTTGAACATGAGTTCATGCAAGTTTTCGCAGTCAAAATAGGGTAAAACAGCATTATGTTTTGATTTAATGTTGCATTATGAGTTCCTTTAAGATTGTGAGTAGGTAATGTTATAAGAAATTCTCTCAGACCTGAAAACTGAGATGATGACTCTTCAGTTAAATTTTTATTTTTAATAATACTATCTGTCCAGGTCCACAAACTACTTTCATGCCAGCTTTTCTGACTACAAGCTACAAGGGTAGCTGCACTTCTGCAGTTGTGTGTTCTCTTTTCCTAGTCCAGGTTTATTTCACCTAATATCTAGGATGCGCATGCCTTTTGTTCTGTAGAATACTTGCTTTTAATGAAATAGTCTCATAATTAAACATTGGTATTTGTGCTTTGAGCAACTGTCTTTTAATCATAGGTCGGAGCTTGCAAACTAGAGGAATTACTGGTTGGTATCTTTTTTTGTTGTTATTTAGGAGACTAAGCGAACAAAGTCTTCCACATGACGTCAAACGGCAGCGGTTTCATTCACATTGTTCTGAACCAACTGTAGTTAACCAAGCAGTGCCTTTACCAGAAGAACGGAGATACTCCTTCCCGGGATCAATTCAGTCTCCACTGTTCCATGCAGATTACATACCAGATTTAAATCCATTGCATCCAGTGCAAGATACTTTGTTTCCAGACCCTATAAAAACCACGCTCCCCGTGGCCAAAGATAAGGTAATATCTTTCTATGCCTATGCTTTACATCTTACTTCTGAGTAGACAGGGTTCAATGGTGCTCTGGGAGACCACAAAAATTTCTGCAACGTTCTTTGATAGTGTCGGGGAGTCTCTATCATTAGAGCTGTCATTAGAATGAATATCAGTAAATGTGGCTGCCACTATGGTCCTATACAGCCTCCTTGTGCGACTTTGAGTTTGGAGCCTTTTTAGGGGTCGGGGTGGTGTTTGCTTGTGTTGTTTGGTTTCCATACTAGCGTCAGGAAACATACACATGTGCTCCAGGAAGTAGAAAATGGAGGGATGGTCCATTTGACACATGACTTGAGGGCAGGGAGAATCCTAGTGACAGTGTTGTGAAAGAGAAGCACTTAATACCTCCTTCCACCAAAGATCTGACTACTTCTTTAATAGTTTGTGTGGGATAAAAAAAGAAAGCTCACTCAAATCAGTTTTAGTGTTTTTTTTCTCCCTGTTACTGACTGTGATAGTTTCACTGGGTCAGCCCTTGGCTAGTAGCCAACACAGCCATTCACCCACTTCCCTCCACCCCCAAGGAAAGGGGAGAAGGTCGGGGAGCAAGGATAAGGGGGCTTGTAGGTTGAGATAAGAACAGTTTAATAATAGAAATAAAAGAAAACTTAAAATAATACTAATATTAAAATAGTAGTGATAATGATAACAGTAACAAAATATGCAAATGAGTGATACTCAGTGCAACTGCTCACCACCAACCGACCAAGCCTGGCCCGTTCCCAGTTAACAGTCCTGGAGGAGCCTCAATCCCAAACAGAAACTGCAATTCTGGAGACCCCGAGAGAAAGCCAGAGAGAGATAAAAGAGGAAGAGACCTTCACTGATATACTGGACATGACATGATATGATATGGAACATCCCATTGGCATATCTAAATGCAAATTTAGGTTAATTAATTTAAATATTCCTCATCCCCTTAAATTTTGTGCTTGTGGACTAACAGAACACAAAGTCCTTCACTTCCAGCAACAAAAATGCAAACACTGGTGCATTATCAGTGTCTCTCTCATAACGAGTCCCAGGCTGAAAAGCAAAACGCAGCACTATTCTAACTACTGGAAAAGAAACCCAGCTCTGTTCCAGCTAAAAAACAGGACACTGATAGGCAAACTGTTGATGTTGATGTCAACAGAAGATATCTCTGGTCTTTCACTGCTTATTCCCTGAAAGGCTGCAGATACTCATGAGGCAAAAATTATTTTCTATGGATAGACATTTTATAATAGATCAAACAAATTTAAATTTAAAACCTTTGCAGAAATGTCTTCTGGGGAGTTGTTCAGTATGAAGTCAAATGCTGTAAAACTCTAGACAATGGAATAGGTCGTGTGAAATTATGCTGGATTTTTTTTAATGCAGTTGTCTGTGTTTCATGTAGTTGCATCTCTGGCAGGAAAGAATGTTCACTTCTCTGTTTCTTTACTTTTTGAATGTGTGTGTCAAGTTAAGTCAGCAGGTTTTGGAGTTGTTTCAAGCATGTCAGCAACAGACCTGTGATTTGAACAGAAAAGAGCTCTGCAGAACAGAACTCCAGAGAGAAATTCAGCTAATTTTTCCACGTACGTTTTGAATTTGATTACTTAATATCAGTTTGAATGTTCTTCAGGGTCATGGTTCTTCTTTCCTCTTAAATTACAGTATGTCACATCACGTTTCATTCTGTGATTCTTCTGTTACAGAGAGCAGACTCTTTTTGGTTGGGTCCTCACTGAATGGGTTTGGCACTCGTAGCAGTGATGGTGACTTGTGCCTGGTGGTTAAAGAAGAGCCAGTAAGTAATTTAAAGCACACATAGTTAAAGTCTGTTTTTAAAATGTATGTGCTCTTACAAAGCTGGATTCTAAAATGAGAAACAAATGGTCAAATCCTTTTGATTTAATAACATTTTTACACTCATAATAGCTATGAACTGTGGGCACAATGTTGCAAATATGAATGTAACCCTATAAACCCTGTAACCCAACAAAACATTCAAAAAATAAGTATTATTTTCACTCCATAAGTGAAGAAAGCACAGCAAAACAGGGGAGTAAACTGACTAGAATCATGAAGAAAACTGTTTAGAGAACTCTTAACTAATTTTAGATAAAGGACAACTTCTAATAAGTACAATTTTGAAATTTTATTATTTAGATTCATAGCCACTAGTTCTAGTGAGCAGGTGTAAGAGGGAATTTGATATGCAAAATATCTTAAGTATTTTTGGTGAGAGAAAATGTGTGAGTAAAATTTAGGTTGAGGGAAAAGATGTAACAAAAAAGAAATCTAGAGCATAATTTGGAAGAATTGAAGCATCCTTGAAAAGGAAGGAAAGGACATTTTTGTGTAAGTGGGACTATGTTTCCATCAAGTTCTAAGATTTTGAATGTCTGAGTTACTTTGCATATTGAATATTAATTGTTCTGTCTGGCTTTTGCCACACTAATGTATATCTAGGCTGTGGAATATGTTGCTGTACGTGTTCATGTCTTATTCGGAGAACAGATTTTACTTGAAAAGTAAAGCATGCTTACTTGGAACACCTAAATGAGAGATACTAATGTTTTTCTTTAATTTTAATGTCGTATTTCAGGTAAATCAGAAGACTGAAGCAAGGCATATACTCAGCTTAGTCCAAAAACTCTTCAGTACTAAACTTTGTAAGTTCCTGGCTACAGTGAGGTGGTAAGATTTTTGGCAGTTCTGAAAGAAGTATTGGTGAACATTTGTAACTAATTTATGTAATCGCATCTTGTCAAGCATTAATCACATTATTGTTTGGAGAAAAGCTATAAATATTTAGTAATGTTACTTGGTGCTGATGGATTGCAATTAGAAAAACATAATGTTTGCCTTGCAAACTGTTGGACTTCAAGAATTGGTAGCATCTAAAATGACTTTTGAATTGTGGACCACAGCTGGGTAGGGGAGGGAGGTAGATTTCTGTTTTGGAAACTTCTGTTAGTGAACTTTTAGTATTTTGGGTTGCAGTACCTTCCCAGGGACAGTACTCGTAAGAATTTGTGAAATACGGTGTCACTCACACCAGACTGTAGAATTGATTTGGGTTGGGGAGGGGGCCTTGATACTAGTGAAATAATTAACTTAGGTTCCTAGTGAAGAAAACATTAAATGTTGACAGTGCCAGTCATAGTACCTACAGGAGAAAGAGTTCAATTCATAGTTCTTACAAATTGTTGCTTAGACTCCCTTCAGATGAATTCACATGAACAGTTCTTGACTTAAATGTGAAAGCCTCCTACTTCAAAGAGGCTTTTGTTACCATTCTTTGAATTATAAAAGACACTGTCATTTCTTGATATCAATGACTCTGTCCCCATACTTCTTAGAATTGTGATATATTCTTTAATGTTCCTCCTTATATTGCTGTTATGAAAAGTCCTGCAATAGTAAAAGGAAGAAACCATAAATTTAAATGCAGACCTCCAAGATTTCTTCATTGACAAGTGTGCATACCCAAATTTCAACAGTTCACTTGAAGAGAGACTTGATACATCCATTGCAGAATAGGCATCTGATATTTAATAGCTTATTTTGATTGTATATTGATGTTTGCATATGGAGTTTAGAACTTAGTCTGCGTTTGCCTAGGATGCAAGTTGTTCCAGTGCTTCTGAGATAAAGTAGTTGTGATTTCAGGGATCAGAAAGGGAGTATCTCAATATACTATCACTGTGATAAAGTAGTTGTGATTTCAGGCATCAGAAAGGGAGTATCTCAATAAACTATCACTATCTTCTTTTTTTCAAGAGGTTGTGTTCTGTGACAGCTTCAGACAAAATCGATTTTGTTTGCTAGGGAACATGAGTATCAGAAAGGCATGTTGGTCACGTGGGAGAGATCACTGAAGGTTTTTGTTTGTGCCATTGCTCATTTTTTATTCTTTCCTAATTCTCTGTTATCTTACAAATGCCTTTGGTCAGCTTCATTTAATCAAAATGTTCTTTGGAAGGTGAGGCTGGACAAAACACTACTGATACTACTGCTCCTGTCAGACTCTTAGTTGTGTTATGCAGACTTCTTAGATCATCTCTTCATCATCTTAGCATCACTGGGGGCATGAATTCCTGTACCTAGCTATCTGTGCTTGTGCCTGTCTATGAATGTTCTGCGGATAGAACTGATAAACAAAACTTGTTTGAAAATGTTCACCTGATTCAAACTGAAAAGGCTTTGCCATATGGATCTTTCCAGTTGGATTTAGCTCACTTACAAACTGTAGCTCAACTATGCTAAGGTTCAGTACTTCTGAAACAAGAGGATTGCCCTGTTATTTTGATCAAACCTTATTTAGGCAAATATAATTGCTATCATCCATAATTTCAAAACAGCTTGTGAGTTGGTTTTGGTTCGGACTGGAGTGGGAGTTTTCCCAGGCTAGACCTCAGAAAAAAATAGATTCATATACTTTTTCTTCAGGAAACGATCTTAGCCATATGTAATTCAGTGGTGTCCTTGTTGGCACTACTGCAGTTTTGTGGAGTCAGGTTTATGTGCTTATAAATGGCTGTTCATTGTTGGCTCCAGATTGACTGCTAAGTTCTTTTTTAATAGAACGGCAGTTTTAAGTGATTTCCTACCTTCTACTGTCTTCAGAAGTCAGCTGCCACTTAATCATTGATGGGAACTACAAGTACATATGTTTAAAGAGAGAGCCTACAGAAACTGTAGTTCTTCTGTTACTTCAACTTCAACCAGAATTCTAGGTTTGCAACTTTTAGAGGGTTATGCTGCTGCTGGGTACAAGCAAGTGTAAGGTTTGTCTGTACTAAGCATCTTTAAGAACTACAGTTTAATTCCAACAGTATTGTGTATTCTATTGCGTGTGCTTTTTTTAATGTCCTAAAAAGTATGAACCTTCTTCTGATCATTATTTTTTAAGTTGGGAAACAAGGAAGACCCAGGGAACTACAGG